GGGAGCCCCGCAGTGGCCAGCAGCCCCCCGGGCCGGGCTGCTCGGGGGCGCCCCTCTCTGCCAGCCCCGCGGCCGGTGCTGCCGGGCGGGGAGCAGGATGGGCGGCAGGATGGATGGATGGATGGGCTGCTCGGGCGGGCAGCGCTGCCAGGCAGCGAAAAATCCTCTTAAAGGGACCGGCCCTATTTCCTCTCGCTGCCTGCCAGCAGGCCCGGAGCATCCCCGAGCACACGCCGGGGCTTGGCCAGCCCTGCCTCTGCACCCCCCTGCACCCCAGTGCCGGCTCCCGTTCGCATCTGGGACACAGCCCACGCAGCTCCCCCCACTGCCCCTGCAGCCCAGACCCCCCTGAATGAGCCCAACACACCCTAAACCCACTCCAGCCCTGCACAGACACCCCAAAACAGGCACGGGGTGCCACCCGGGCTGCAATGGCTTGGGACAGCCATTGACATGGGTGACAGCTGGTCACAAAGGGTCATGGCAGGGGGCTGGCCCTGCAGGGTTTTACTCCCAGCACACCCTCCCTGGTGCAGCTCATCCTGCAGGACCTGGATCCCCCTGCACCTCCCCAGCACCACGCCTGGCTCCCTCCTCGCTGTTACTCACACCTCTCACCCACCACAGCACTTAAACACGAAAGACATATGGAAATGAGTGGCACCAGCAAAAGTATTAATTAAAAAACCATCTGTTGAGCCAAGGAGAGCTTTCCCCGCCCCTCGCCAGCTTAGGGCTGTGTTGCCACTGAAGATGAATAGATCACACGGACACAGGTCGAGGTGTGGTGAAAAGAAGAGAGAGTTTATTTTTCCTCCTAGGATTTATAGGTTTTTGACCACGGCCAGGGATTGGATGGTCAGGATAACACTTTCTCACTGTCCATCACAAGACATGTAACAGAAAGAATGTACACATATCTATGTTTACAGTTACTGTCCTGGGAAAGTCTTTAGAAAACCATGTCAGCAAGCTCAGAAGCTGAGTTTTCAGGGCGACATCGCTGGGCCAGATCTCAGGGCAGGATCCAGGCAGAAGAGACCAGGGAGCTGGGCCAGGGGAGGGCACCAGGAGTTATCCATGGAGCCAAACTCTTCGTGGAGGTCTAAAGTCATCTTGTCATGGATCAAGAGGCACGTGGGACTCACCCAGTTCTCTCTGTACCCAGCAGAGATGTGGGTGCCTCCCATGCCTGGGGCAGTCCCCGGTAGCAGGTCCCAGCCCAGGCCTGCTCTGCGCAGTGCCAAACAGCCCTTCCTCCCTGCAGGGGGGCAGAAGGAGGGCCTGGGAATGACCTCATCGATGCCAAACCCCATTCTGCTCAGCTGGGCCCAAGCTGGTGGCCATGAAGTCATTTCAAGGTGGTAGGAAGCAGGGATGGAGCCTGGTGCCATGGACACATTCACATCCCTCTAAACCCCAGCTGGGACCTTCCCAAAGTGGCCTTGTCCATAGCCATGTCCCCGTGGTGGCTCACTTGCTCAGGACAGTGACAGAGGGAGCCTGTCCTGGTTTTGTCATCTGTGTTCAGGGCTGCAGGGACAGAGCAGGCAGCAGAACCTCTGCATGATAGGAAAAGCTGTGTGATTCCCTGCAAATATATTTTTAATGACCCATGGCTGGTCCTCCAGCGTCCCCAGCAATGCCATCACGTGCTCCAGACCACCCTCTCCTTCCCTGGGGGAATAAAGCTGCTTCCATGGCTGCTTCCTAAGGAGCCAGAGATGTCCTCAAGGGGCACAGAGGTGTTCCTGGTTGGAGCCAAATCTCTCCCTTTGTGGCCCCAAGCTGCTGTGAGGAGAAGCCCCTGGGGAAAGGGGCACTTAGGGCAGGACCACAGATCCCCTGGAAGGAGCAGGACCAGTGGATGGAGCAGCCCATAGGAAAGATTTTCCACCTGGGAGATGAGACCTTTCTCCACTCTGCACTCCCAGGGAGGCTGCTGGGAAGTTTGACCCACTGGACCCCTCAGCAGTGGGTGCTGCAGCCCTGGCCGGGCTGCTCTGTCTGTGGCATGGGGACAGGAGGCAGATGTCACACTCCTGCTGGCCTCAGCAAGCTCAGAGGGCAGCTCCACCTCTCAGCTGGAATTACCTGACAGGGAGAAATCCCAACCTGCAGCACTGAAGGACAGGTATTTTGTAACAGGCACAGGTGCTGCCTCCCCCCTAAAAGGGATCTGAGGCTCCTGTGGGAAGCAGCCAGGGAAACGGGTGCTGCCACCACTGTCCCCAAACCCAGCTGCAGGAAACACACACAGATCCCAGCACAGGCTGCTCCCAGAGCATCCCCTGCCCTGGAGAGTCCTGGGACGAGCCAGCCCTGCAAGAGCGAGTGCAGAACATCTCTTCCCCTCTCGGATGACAGAGCACAGCGATGGAGACACGAGCACAGCGCCGGGTGGCCCAGCTCTACCTGGAGGAACCTGAGGAGAGCAAAGACAGCAAATTTGGAGCCGTTCGCAGCTCCCACCTCTCAGCGCCAGCCTCCCCCACAGCCCAGCGAGGCTCAGCCGGGCAGTGCCACCTCCAGGACTCACCGCAGGGCACGTGGCAGTCGCACTCGCAGATGTCACAGCGCTGGAACCAGCGGGGCCAGCCCGAGAGTTTGGTGACACAGGCTGAGATCTTGATGCAGCCGCGGTTGAGGAAGGCTCCCAGGTGCTCCTGGCTGCCGCAGGACGAGGAGCACTTGCCGGCGATGTCCCGCTCGCTGAGCTGGATGCGGCCGCGCAGGCAGATCCCTGCAGGGGCAGAGCCCATGGCGGGGGGCTCGCCTGGAGCCCCGGGGCAAGGAGGGCTCGGGACGTGCCTGCAGCCGCTGGCAGAGCTCAGCGCGACACCCGGGCTACTCACGGAGGCAGGAGGGCTTGGGGGTCCAGCGGCCATCGGGCTGGCAGGCGCTGGCAGGGTCCCCCAGCAGCAGGAAGCCGGGCCGGCAGCTGTAGCGCACCACGGAGCCCACCCACCAGTCGTTCCCGTGCACCACCGAGTTAAAATCCGCCTCGGGCCGCCCGCAGTTCACTGCGGACAGGGATGGAACCGGGGCTGGCAGCCTGGGCAGCCTGCTGGCCACAGACAAGGCTGGGTGCCCCAGGCTGCTGGACACACGCACTCGGGAGTGTGGCACAAAGCTCAGCAGCGTCCCCAAGGGTCCCCCGTCCTTCTCCCTGGGGCTTTACCTCTGCAGAAGGACTTGTAGCCCAGCCAGCAGCAGCTGCCGTTCCCACACTGGCTCCTCTTCAGCTCCTTGTGCCGCCCCTTGCAGCCCCCCACGCAGATGGGCGCCGTGCCAGACCAGTAAGTGTCCAGGTCTCCTGGGGCCAGGGGGGGCAAGGCAGGGCTGAGCTGGGCTGGGGGGCGAGGACACCTTTCCCAGCAGCTCAGAGCCCCACAGGGAGGTGTGGGGCTCATCCCAGCCCACCCCAACCCTTGCTGTGGTGAGGAGTGCAGCCTCTCAGACCTCAGCTCCCACGTCCCCTGTGCCAAGCCTTGGTCTTGCTCCTCACTGGGCAGGACAGGTGCCAGCAGCTCTGCGGCACCCCATAAACCCCCTCATCTCCCAAACCCCCTGTTACCTTCTGGGTCCTGGCAGGAGGCGAGCGTGGCCAGCACGGTGAGGAAGAGGAGGCCCAGTGCCATCCTCTGCCCTCCTCCCCTCGCCCCTCCAACCACAGACCCCTCTCTGCTCGCCCAGGAGAAAGTGAACTTGGTTTCCACACACATCCCAGGCCAGGGGATGCTGCAGGACATGGGGGAAGGGAGGAGACATTCCCTTTAATGCCAATCCTCTCCCCAGCAGATAATCTCTGGCAGATTACCCTGCCTGGACCCAGTGTTTAAAGGGACACTCCCAGCACCCAGCACTCGCACCCAAACCCGGCAGAACGCAGGCACAGCCATGCTGGAAAGAGGGCCAGGCTGGAAGTGCTGCCAATGCAAACCTGGCATGGGGCCCTTCTCTCGAAGGCATCCTCAGCCCAGCTCTGCCAAGGCCAGGGAGCAGGGGCCAGGCAGGGATGGGAAGGCTGGGCAAGGCCACACCAAGTGGGCAGGGATGCTCTGCCTGGAGCAAGGAGCATCCTCCAGCAGCGTGTGCTGTCAGCTTCTGCCTCTCCCCTGGAGGTGCTGGGTTTCCCCCAGCAGCTCAGAATTCCAACTGCTTTTGCTCAGCTGCTTGAGAAAGGAACAATGGGGAAAAGCCAGTGTCCAGCCAAGACCAGCAAGGTACATCTCTGTGTCCCCCTGAGCACATCACCTCCACACACAGGGCAGGGAGGGTCTAAATGGCACTCCAGGGACCCCAAATTCACACTATCCTTGTCCAATCGCTCAACAGAGGATGAGCTGGCTCTGCTCACAAGCCCAGGCTACTCCCTGTATTCAAAAAAGGCCTGAGCAGGCAGCACACAGCCCTGGGGGAGGCAGCAAAACCCAGCCCCACAGCAGGAACACGAGTGCCAGAACTAAACTTGGCCTTCCAGTGCCACCTCTGGGGAGCAGCACACTCCAGTGCCAGCTGCACAGTGCCAGGAGAGCCTGGCAGCTCCTCAGTGCCCACCTCCCACACTGCAGCTCTCCCAGTGCCCACCTCCCAGCACAGCACGGCTGGCAGGGAAAGGGCTGCACAGAAAACACACCACACACTGCTGGGCCTGGCAGCCCCACGTTTATTTCAATTGCCAAAAGACACTTTGCCCAAGCAGGAGCCCAAACCCCAATGTGGGGAGGACACCCAGGGGATGCCAAAAGCAGCAAGAAGCTCCCAGTGTCCCAGTGCTGCACTGGGACAGCACCTCCAGCACTGTCCTCTCTGAGACCAGCCCTGGTTGTGGGATCAGGGAGGCAAACACCAGCAGCAGCACCAGGTGAGACAGGACATGTGTGCAGGAAGTGCTGATGAAGGTATGATATCCCCTGGAGAAGGCATGGATGGGGCAGGACAGGCCTGCCAAGGGCCACACGTGTTCCCAGGGAAGAGGCTTCAGCACCAGTGTGTGCTCCACACACCATCCTGCCTGGGGCACAGGCTCAGGAGGGCACAGCTGGTGACCACTCCACCCTGCCAGGCCTCAGCCAAACCTCCCAGAAGGGTGGGAGAAGCTTGATAGGCCCTAATTCCCAAAAGGAGAAGGCAGACAGCTCTTTCCAGCTCAGCTCACTTGATTCACACCAGGGAGATCTGTCCCTCCCCTATCCCCATGCTGACCAGCACCAGCAGCCAGCGAGCCTGGGCTGAAGACAAGCCCAGCCCTCTCCCCAAGCACTCCTCCACCCCCACCAAGGAGGTTTCAGCTCTCCTGCAGAGGCAGCCCCTCACACGATCTGGATTCCCAGCTCCTCAGCTGTTTTCTGCAGCCTGTCCATGACGTTCTCCTCCAGCTCCACAGCCAGGGGTGCCGTGCCCTGCTCCTCCGAGGCCGTGCTGGCCATCACGTAGTAGACAGTCTCACTCTGGCCCTGCTCGTTGGTCCTGTTCACCACACGGATGATGGGGCTGCTTGTGGTGCCGGCTCCTTGCTCTGAGGAAGAGGAGGAGGCAGCTCCTGGCAAGGGGCTTGGCTGTGCTGGCTCAGGGCTGGGAGCAGAGCACAGGGCAGGGGGCACAGGCAGCTCAGAGATCCTGTTCTCTGCCAGGGCAGGGTTTGCTGGCGGCTCCAGAAGGATGCCCTGCAGGTTTCCCTCACCCTCAGGCAGCACCACGCACTTGCTGGAGCCATCCAGAGCCTCCCCACGCTTCTCCCTGTCCTTGAGCAGCTGCTCTGTGAGCTCCACGCTCTCGTAGCGCACTAGCTGCAGCCTCATGTAGCCGTCCTCGTGCTCCCTGTACCTGGGCACAGACAGGAGGGGTCAGCCAGGCACACTCCCCTTCCCAAGAGATGGGGAACAGCCAAGGAAAGGGCTCAACATCCAAGGTTTCAGCCCCTACTCCCACACCCCATGTGGCAGTTCCTGAGCTTTGTGCCAGGCTCAGTCACCGCCCAGCCCATCTCCCTCCACCACTCTGTTTCACTGGCAGCATTTCAAGTCCATCCTCTTCCCCTCCCAGCTTTCAGGCTCTGGAAACCCTTTGGAGTTTCCAAGAGAGGGTGCAGCAGAGGTTTCTGTCACAAGATTGATCTCTCTAGAGGGTGACACCTGGACCTGGCCCTTGCCAAGCTCAGAAGTGCCACCAGAGGCAGCAGCGATGGCACCACTGCCCTGCAGCTGCTCAGGTCCCACTGAGCGTTCACTGCCCAGTGCCTCCCAGCCTTGGGCAAAGGGTTTTGAACACATTTACAAACATCAGCACAGGGCAGGATGCAGCTCCAGCCGCGTCCTGCGCTGGAGAGAAGGTACTGAGGAGCTAAAGGTGAGCAGTACCTGAAGCGAGGATGTCCCGAGGGCCATTTGAACTGGTGCTTCTTCCTGAGGTGGACAGTGAGGTTGTTCCCCCGTGTGAAGCACTTGTCACACACGTGGCACTTGTACCGGGGCTCCGAGTCACCCTGAGGGACACAGAGTGACCTCAGCACCCCACACGTGCAGGGAAGGAGACACAAAGTTCTCAGAGAAGATTCACACGGGGTATCACGAGCAATGCAAGCCCTGCTGCCTTCCCACCTCATGGACTTTCCTGTAGTGCAGTTTGATGGAGCAGAGGGACCGTGCAGAGAAGCTGCAGGCCTCAAACTCGCAGCGATACGCCGGCTCCTTGCTGTGCGTGTCCAGGTGCTTCCGCAGGTCAATGAGGTTCTTGCAGCTGGAAGCACAGAGTGAGGGACAAAGCTGCAGCACACACACACACACACATACAGAGGCCTCTGGGAGGTCTGGGGAGAGGGCCAGGCCTGGCTCTCACCTGTAGTCACAGTAGTCACACTTGAAGGGGCGCTCCTCGCTGTGCCGGAAGCGGATGTGGTTGCGCAGCGAGGAGGGCAGCGGGCAGGTCATGTCACACAGGGGACACTTGTAGTGGTTCACTGTGCCAAGAACGGGGAGAAATGTCACCCCAGAGCAGGGCAGAGCACACAGCCTGCAGAGGCTGAGCTGGGAGCAGGGGCCTTCACTCACCGTGGTTCCTCATGTGGTCGCGGAGCAGCCTCTCCGTGGCAAACCTCTTGGAGCAGTGGGAGCACTGAAACCTCTGCTCTGCAGCAGCGGGGCAGGGAGGGGACAGGAGAGGTCAGGGCAGGGACAACAGCACAGAGAGCAGTGAGGAGGGGTGGCACAGGGGGCTGGAAACCTGGCTGTGCAGCCCTGGGGCCCCACAGGAGGAACAGCCTCCGATCCTGTCTCTGCAAGGAGACACTTCCTGGAGGACACGGCCTCAAGCTGGGCTGGGGGAGGCTCAGGTGGGACATCAGGAGGAATTTCTTCATGGAAAGGGTGACCAGATGCTGGAAGGGAGGTGGGAGAGCCCCTATCCCTGGTCAGCTGGCTGACAAGGTGAGGATCAATCACAGGCTGGACTCAATCCCAAAGGTCTTTTCCACTCTAAATGATTCTGGATTCTGTGGCTCCCATCAGTCGGCAGAGAAGCCAGGCTGTTCCAAGCACACCCTGCCCTTGGCAGCTCCAGCAACCCAAATACCCAGCCCAGAACCCCCCCAGCCCCTCCCTGCCCCCAGGACTTACGGTCCAGGGCACTCTGGCGGCGGATGTGGTCGAAGAACTTGGTGTTGTTGGCAAACATCCCCCCACAGGTGGGACAGGCCACCACCTTCTCCTGCGTGTGGCTGCGCAGGTGCTCCCGCAGCTTGCAGCGGCCCTTGAAGCTGCAG